TGAATAAACGAGCCCGCCACTATTACAAGCCAGTAAACAGCAGCTTTAGCTGAGGGCTGCATCAACACCCACTTGTAGATTCCTTCCAAGGATTGAAGGAATGAAATTTTGGACTTCTTAACCTGTTTAGCGGACGCCATGTTTTGAATTGTGGTGCCCAGGCTCCAAGTTTTATTGCTGTAAGAGCAGGGTCTGTGTAGATTTCTGGAACGAATCAATGAGGTTCATTCGTTGTTGTTTTTACGTCGAAATAAACCCGAAACGGTGCGAAGATACAAACGGTAATGGCAGGTTAAAAACTGGAGAAACGGGCTGGAAGCTAAAGTAGGTGATTGCACACAATAGATAAGCTTAACTGTGTAAAAGACGCTTGTTTGATCGAGTCAAGTCATGATCATATTTAAATTAAGCTGTTTTTTTCCTTCGGCGATGGAGAAAGATGGAAAAGAATAACAGTCCTATGTAGTTGCTAAAATGATCAAATAGGCTAACATGTGATTAAAATTGCTATTGCATTTCAATAAAAGTATGTATACATAAGTCTTTATGTATTGTAAATAAGCCCATATCTCCTCTATGGTGTCAAGTTTAACTAATATCGCTCAAATCTTGCGAGCTAAATGGTAGTTATTTTAATTTATTTTCCTTTTTACAGCAAAATCATCGGCACCCGCATCTGAAGAGCAGAAAAATCACGTTGTTATCTGGCGTGACAAGAAGACGTGACTTTCGTGACATCTATGTAGCATGTGCGTTTTTGAAGACTCCGCTGGCTGAAGTATCACTTGGAACGACGTAGAAATTTAACATGACTTTCAAATTTCACCCGTTTTTCGCGCTCTTATCAAGAACAACGAAGAACGGTTTGAAAGGTATGTTAAAGTCCTTCTTCAGTTTCTTCCTGAAAGTAGCAGATTAATAATTTAGACGATATTTCTGCATCTTTTTCTACTTTGTGCGAGTTGTGATGTCATACGGGCAAGCTCAGGCACAAGCGACAACTCGGGGATCGTGTGGTCGAAATTTGCGCGCGTATTTCAAATAACGCACACATAAATCTTTTGCAAAACTTCAGAAGAGCGATTTCTAGAGCACAATGCGGGACAAAATCAGCGCTCTATTTGGTCAGTCACATTTTTTTTTAAACGTACATTGTTTCTATACTGTTCTGTTGCATTGAGAAATAAGTTTAAAATTTTGCACGCTCTCAGGTAGTGTGGAAGCCACCACGTTCTTGTGTTGTTCAAGGTAGCGACCGTACCGCACGCGTTGCGTATGGTATCAAATATGTTCTCGTTGAGTATAAGCTTATCAGAACAAGAAGTTATTGCATGTGGTTATGTTTATTGACTGTAGCTTGGAAGTTTATTTGTAGCAATTATTGCTGTTGAGCTATGCAGAGTTTTTTGCTTCGAGTTGTACACGGAAATATTATGATTACGAGTCGAGGAGAACATTGCCTTCGAAAAAAATGCTTCAATGCTCGTCTTATTAATTTGCTCAATATATAATTAACACTGAATAATTGGCAAATCGTTAATTTCAGGCTGCATATCAAGCAGGATGATTGGAAATAACACTAGAAATGGAAGTACATGTAGTGGAGTCAATGGAAGCAATGGCTATTCATCAAACAGAAATATTACAGTAAGTACAGGTCAAACTATTACCAGGTTGTGTTCCACATGTCATTTAAGTGCCTTTTCAGAATTGTTAACAAAACTATTTGTACCATAAAAGTTCTTTTTTCTTTTACTCAAGGTGGCTATTGAAGGAAACATAGGCAGTGGAAAAACAAGTCTTCTGCAGTTTTTCAAGCAAAACTCATCGGTGGAGGTAGGTTACGAATTAAGTACACAAACTTAAACTTAATTTAAACAAAAGCATAAGTGCAATTTGGTTTCACTGCAAGGTGTTGAGTATCAGAAAATCAGATATAATCATCAAATAATAAAATAGTCCTTTATACATACTCTCTTGTTATAAAATATTACACATTTCACCGCATACACTACAAAGTTAAAAGGGTAAATAAATGCAAAATTAATGTGGCAAATTATTATATGGCTCTGTCTCACAAGGACTGGGAACTACCAAATTCTCAAATTTGATTGGCTGAAATCAATATTTTGCGTTGAAAAAGTAGCAAACTAAAATACAAAAATGTTCACCATTTTCTTTTATTTTCTTCTCAATCATTTATGGAAGTGCCAAAAAGCCTGATGACAAAAAAAAAAAAGGTAAAGAGAACAAGCAAATTTTGGCAGGTTTAAGTTAAGCTCATCACCGTTCGCAAGCAAAATGTCAGCAAACCAGTTACATTAAACGAATTGAAGTTTTCTTCTTTGCCATATAATAAACATCTTATTAACCGAGCTAAGTCGGTCTGTATGGGAGAATCTTGAGAATCTTGACCTTGGCCATGTGTACAGACATCACTGCGTTCAGTCTGTACTTACGACCTTGGTCAAGATTCTCCCATACAGACCTCGAGCTCGGTTAATAAGAGCTAAATATTAGTGTCCACATTCCATATATTTTTATGCCCTTAGTTTTCTGTAACCAGCAAAGGTGCAACCCAAAAGTAAACTGTTTCCAAAACCGTTTGTTTATGACATCACATACGCCATGTACTCAACATCGAATGAAACCTTAGATGGGAGCTGGGCAGCATAATTCAACATTGGCTGCCCCAAAGATTCAACCCCAACCCTTCTCGGTTAAAACAAGATAAAAATGAAAAAAAACAAGCACAAAGATGTTTGCTTTGCACCAAGTAAAAGAAAAGTGGTAGGCAATTGCATAAAACTCTTTATTGATGAAACAAATAAATCCATTTTTGCACTCCACCTTCCAAAACTTGGAATAACTCTGGGATTTGAAACCCTAACCCTAAATTTCTGGTTTGCATAAATTTTTTTACCTTTAAAACCCACAAATAAGGTGCAGTAAATTGAATCATTGATTGTCTTAGATTAGTTTGATTATTTTGCTTGCTGTGTTGAAGGCCCAGATAAGCTGACGGGTGCAACATAATCACTTGTTATATAGTTTTCAATATAACTGAAAATCTGTACAATGAATTTTCATTGAGGTATTTTCTCCATTTTCTTTCTATTAGGTAATCGAAGAGCCTGTGAAAAAATGGCAGAATGTCGATGGGAGTAATACTCTGGTAAGAGTCTGCTTATAGGTGACTCTACCTTTTTGAAATTATGAAATTTTCAGTGCTTGCCAACTTTTGATATTACCTAATGAGAGATAAGTAGTTAGATTTAATAGGCCCTTTGCAGCTGGGGTCACGTGACCAAATTTTTCCTAAAAAATTTTTGTATTATGGACTATAACTTAAAAAATGCCAGAAATGGAAAGAGCGCATCGAAAATACCAAAGAGGCCAAGTTTGAGGCCCCAGGAAAAAACGAGTAAATTTATACCATAGTTTGAATTTTCGGAAAATTTAGAGGATTCGTATGGAAAATGTTGCTGGGGAGCAAGGTCTTGCTCTCCAGCAACATTTTCCCATACAAATCTTCTTATTCTTTCAAAAATTCAGACCATCATAAAATCTCATTCTCTGATGATGGGGGCCTCAAACTTGGCCATTTTGATATTTTCGATATGCTTTTTCCATTTCTGGCATTCGTTAAGTTATAGCCCATAATTTTATGAAAAGTAGATCACGTGATGGCTTACCTGCAAAGGGCCTATTTATTGTCTCAAATTTGACTTTGTTGTTCCTTCTCTCAGACATTGCCGGTATGTTGTCACATACATGTACATGTATGGTCGTTGCTAAAGAAGGCAAAATCAAACAGAAAATTACCAGTTTGAAAAACATAGATCTATACAATTACAGGGCTGTCAAAAATTGCTGGATAACTTTCACTTTCATCTTGGCAAAATATATTTCTGCTCTTACTCAGCCGGCACTTATCGGCAACCCTGATCATGTTCGTGTATGACTTATCTGTTTCTAGGAGCTTATGTACAGTGACCCAAAGAGATGGAGTTATTTATTTGAGTCCTATGTCCTTCTCACAATGATGGAAATTCATCAACAACCTCAGGTACAGTAGGAAACACAGTGTTCTTACATTCATGTACATACAGATCTCAGGCACTGTACGCAAGGAAAGGTTACATTCTGCACTTGTGCCCAAAACATGCATACACTGTACACATAAAAGTATACACAAAGAGAAGGGTTACAGCACTCACATTATGTAACATGTATTAAAATCTAAGAGGAAATAAAAATAATATTTTTATTATAAACAATCTAAGACTTTCTTTGTTCTTTAATCAATAAAATTAAAAGGAAAAAGAGAATTTACAATGCTTACCTTTTTTAGAATACACCTGTCAGGCTACTTGAAAGAAGTGCATACAGTGCAAGGTTCTGCTTTATGGAAAATCTTCATAGAAGGTAAAGCATTAAACTTTTGATAATTTTTCAAAGGGTATTAATAAAATTACCACTTTTGTGATGATATAAGAAAACACCCTGTAAGAATGTGTATGCTAAAAGCTGTACATCTGTGTCTCGATAGATACAGAAAACTGTGGAGATCATGATGTAATCAATGGTGCATTAGCAAAGAGAATTAACATATTTTGAAAATTCACATTAAGCAAGGCTGTGATTTTCCTCCCCTTGGTGCACATTGTTTTCTAGAAAAGTAGATTTTAATTATGTTAAAACATTTTACCCTTGTTTTTAATGAGTTATAGAAACAATCATGCAAGTTTGGGAGAACTTGAAAAAAGCATCTGGGACTGGGTTGTGTTTCCCACAGCGTTTTTTCCTGTCATAAACTTCCACTTGTGTTTCTATGAAGTAAACTGAAACTCATTTGACAGTCTACAATGAGACAAGGTATTGGTCATTTTTCACATTTCTAAACTTCTGATCTATTAGAAAACTCCAGATACTGATATTCTGTTGATCAGGCCTCAGTTGTTCAGAGAATAATAATGTTTTCCCCTGGATAAATCAATAACCTCTGGATCGTGACTTTTTTAAAAAAAAAGTAGATTACAATAAAATTGTCCACCTTAAAACAAACCAAAGCCATTAAGTTGTAATTATACATTTATTTTGTAAGTACCACAGCGACAGATAACAAATAATCGTACTTCCTTTTTCTTGATTATTTTAATTATGGAGAAAGGGCTTAGGGATGCGATGCGACAACAAATTAACTTATCAAATGATAATGTTATGCTTGTTTTATTTTCTTGACACACAGTGGCACATTGTCAACAGTTGAGTACACAGTCTTCCAGGAATGGTTTGATTATCTCATGACAACTGAGAAGCCACAAGTAGACTTGATAGGTGTGTACTGAACATTTGTTTGACTTGACGGCATATGAGTAGGGTGTGGTCAGAGCAGTCCTCGTGGGAAGTCTGGTTTATCAAGTTGCAAGACCCATAATATTAAATAGTAAGCTTGATATATCTTTATTACCATAATGATCTGAAAGCACAAATGGTACATGTACACATCTGAGAATTTTAGAAATTTTAACATTGTTTTTACTTTTAGTTTATCTGAGAACATCACCAGAGAAATGCATGGAGAGAATAAAAATGAGAAGCAGAGATGAGGAAACTTCTGTATCAATGGTATGTATTTAAGTCAGATCTGTGTGCACAGCAAAAGTACTACATTTCATGTGACATACTAACGTCAGGCACTTCAGTCTCTCTCTTGCATATCTTAAGTTCTATACATGTAACCCTAAAGGTACAGACTGAGGGTGTAGGGGGCTTGGGAGCCAGCTGACTTTATAATGTTCCATCACCGCCAAGATGTTATAATTTTCATAGCCAAAATTTAGAATGTTTTGTTTTACCCTTGTATCTTAGACCAAAATTGCATACACTTATTTGGTACCCCATGTTATCTCAGAATTATTATTGAAGTTTCAATCCACATGTGACCAGTAAGCTATATTTAAAATTCCATGCTCCAAATACAAAATACTTCTTTAAAAAGAGTTGTGAAAAATGCCATGAAGGCCTTTATTAACAAAAAAATTACATTTTGCAGACAAGCTGATAAATATTGGTAGATATGTGTGTTTGTTTAGCAACCTTGTGTAACAAAAATGCAAAATTCTTTGTGTTGTGTAAATTATAATAAAAAAGAAGAGGGGAATTGATTGAATTAAAGGACCTTTTTTCTTGCAGGAGCTTTTAAATTCTTTACATGAGAGATATGAAGAATGGCTTATAAAAAAGGACAAATTCTATATTCCAGCTCCAGTCGTGGTAAGTGTTTTACTGTACTATCCTTTTGCATATGTGTAAATGTTTGATATGCCTGGAGGGTTGACAGTATGAACAAAAGCAACTTCCAGCCATGAAGGGCAATGACATTTTCAGTTACGGCTCAGGATTCAATAGCAAAAAAGCATAAGCAACATATGCAGTGCAATAAGATGTTGATCATTAGTTCCTTCTGTTAAAAACATTCCGACCCACAAAAGCTGGTACCTTACAGTACTCATCTTACTGTGGCTGTGTATGTCTGCTCATGATTCAAAAGTGAAAACCAGCCTCTATAAGGGACTCTAAAATATGGGAGACTTTTTTCTGATTTTGAAGCTATTCAAGGCTTTGACCTAAGAAAATTATGAGGAGCCCAAAGGTTCCTATCCATGAAATCCTGGGTGCCCAGCACTTAAGCATATATAATAAAAAAAGTAAGATTTTCTAATTGCCCAAAGGAAAAGTTAGTCACCTGTGGCACCCAGGCACTGTAAGAGCACAGCCATTTAATTTTGCAAGAAGATACTTCACTTAAGTACCTGCTAATTTATAGAAAAACTCCTAATCAAAAACATGTTTTAAGTCTTCCTTATTAAACATTTTAAAAAAAATGTTATCTAATAAAATTGCTACTGTATACATTTCATGTAGACAATACCTCTTGAATACGCCATGATTTTCTAATTGCCCAGGAAATATAAATCGACACAGTGTCACTTGTGACTCGACATTAAGTCCTGTATTTATCTGTTTCAGGTGGTAGATGGAAATAAAAGCTTAGACGATATGTTTCAGTTTTATGAAACAAACACTCAGCTTCTCCTTGGGATCAACGTTTCAAAAACAGAATGACATTACAGTTTTATAGAGATTATCCTATCATTTAAATTTGCACAAATTACACTGTATATACATGAACATGTATATATTAATAATTTGTATTTGTATGTATCTATATTATTGCAATTTATATTATAAAGCTTTTAATAATACACTAAAGAAAATAATGTTTGCCACCAAGCTTGCAAAAGCCTGCATGTTACCCTGGAGATTTCCATCCAATTTAACAACAGTTCTATCACTCCCGTGTTTTGTTTCTTTTGTACATAGATGTGATTAGAGCAGTTGTACGGAAGAGAATTGTTTTATATGTGAATTGTAACCAGTGGTTAGGCTTGTTCAATTTTTTGCAAAATTTGCAAGTGACAGTGCCTGCTCAGAAGCTTTATCATTAGTAACACCAATATTAATTAATAAAGACACGCTTTTATATTTAGAAATTCAGGATACTGAAATGTGTTTGCTCTTTTACATCTACCTTCAAGTCTTATAAGTTCCTTTGCTTCTATTTTTTTAAATCAGTTAAATATTTTGTATAAATATTTATCAGAGTCAATCACATTGAAAATCTCCTAGGGCAATCAATGTCCGTGTTTAATGTACCTTTCATAATTCAGAAGTATATACAAACATCCAGATTTCTTTCATTGCTTACACTACAGTAGGTAAGATTATTAGACAAAAAAAAAAAATTATTAGACATTTAAATATTTCTAGAATCTTATTTTCTTTCACAGCAAATAGTCCTTTCTTACAGTTCAGTTATGTTGTAATGTTAAATTTTAATCAGTTCCTTATAAATGCTTTTCTTATTGTAAATCTTATTCAATTAAAATTGAATATTAATTTTAGAAAGAGAGTTAATACCTTGCCTTAAAATTCCAACATTGAGGAAATGAGATTGTAGAATGTCTGCACAGTGTCATCTCCTTTTTATCCCAATAGTTTAATAAAATTTCTGTATTTCTTGTTTTAGTATATTTGTGGTGATGGGTTACCGTATTACATAAATCTCTTTGCAGGTAGATTACAAAATGATAAGTCAGCTGCATAGCACTTTTTGGAAACGGAGTAGGGGGAGGGGGGGGGGGGGGGGGGGGGGTGGGGGGCAGGGAATTTTCGGATAGTGACAAACAGTACAAATGGGTGATAAAGTTTGAAGTAAACGTTTTTCCACTCAGTGAACAGCAGCTACACAGAAGGCTATTTATTTGTAAATGGCCCCAGAATATTTCTTTATCCCCTAGTTTTTCTGTCTAGGTTTATGGTCAGTTTTCGTATTGACTACAGGGTGTATCCTATCCCATGATTTCTGAATAAATCCCTTGGTAGCGAAATTAGAAACGAGGTTGTGGAGATCTGGGTACCTAGCTCCAGACTTCTCGCGTTCATAATACTGTTCAGTTTTTCCCGCCACTATTTGATTCCGGATCGCCGCCATATTTACTCCTGCAAGTATTGACTTGCTGGCCACTTTTGAGTGGAAAGGTAAGCTTAACTTTGTTTTAATGTTATTTCAACGATCTTTTTGCGCTGTTTTGTTGTTATTATCAACTGCTTCCTCTATTTGGCAGCGAATTTCTGCTACACTGGTAATGTAGAGTGATAGCGTGCTTGAAAGCGTTACCTTGTTCGTTCTTTGTTGTTATCCCGTTTACTGTAAAATACCGTGATGCGGACACATTTACCGATCTTGTAGTTTCTTCGTCATCTCGCATACTCAAGATTGGGTTGCCTGAATTGACCCTGTGATCTGCAGTATTTGATATATTTGCTCCGTTCAATTCTCTTTCACAGATATCTTGACGTTTGTTTGTTGTTTCCGATGCTCCAGAATTATGCTTAGCTTAAATCAACTACACTGTCTTGAAGCGGAGTGTCCAATGGAAGAAGATTCACCAAAAACCAATATAACGGTATGACGTGATTACCCTGGCTCTTTCGATGATGAAGAAGAAAAAGAAGCCTTTATTTATCGAGGGTTAACGCATAATATCAGAATTCGAACATAAGCTTACATGTAACTAGGTGATATGCTTCTGATGTAACTTAAATTGTCTTCCAAATTATCTGATAAGATCATGGTTTGATATTCAGAAATGCCCTTCACTATGAAATTTTAATATTTGGTGAACTCAACTTAAGCTTATATTTTTCAGATTGCTGTGGAAGGTAACATTGGAAGTGGGAAAACAACTTTGTTAAATTTTTTTAGAGACAATCCCCTAGTAGAAGTGAGTATTTTCTCAACATAAATTATTTCTTTCATAATCATACGTGCACATAGAGATAAATGAGTTCTTAAGTATAAAAAATGAAAGGGGAAATGAAAAAAAAAAATTGATTGATCGTCAGTGCTTTGCACTCTCTTCTCAATCATGCTCATGGAGTGCTTGTGGTAATACCATTTTCCTGGAATTCTTCATTTAAGAAATATAATAAAAAATTCTTCCCAACAGGTATTAGAAGAACCAGTGGCTAAATGGCAAAATGTTGGAGGGAAAAACCTTTTGGTAAGTTGATGAGGTGTACCAGCTACAGCTCTAGTACTCACTGCTTGAGCTCTAGTTTGTAACCCCATTGGCCACCAGCCGTGAGGTTAGCAAA